CCCTTATGGGGTTAATTAGGGTTAGGCTTGGGGCTAGGGGTAAAGATAGTTTTGAGGGAACATAGAGCTGACCGTAGGTACGCTCCCGTGTATGACAGTGCAAAATGTTTGCCTATTCTTTGACTGCTGTTGTCTGTTATTCTGTGTTAAAGTAGTAATAGTCTGTCCTTTAGCACAGTTACATATCTGCCCGGTACAAATGTTTAAGTGAACAGCTTGACCTGTATCTGTTTTTGTGTACTTGTCTAGGCGGATGATGTGTCCCTTCAAAATGTGGCAGGCAAGACAGTTTTCTGAATCTTACATCAATGATTGCTATTAAAAATCATTGGTATCTGAAACATTAAAATACAAGGTTATTTAATTTTCAACAGTGTAATAGAATCAGACCATACGATTTATCAGCATCCTGGGCTGTACAAAGAGCAGTTAGCACTGTTGAAAAAGGACAAATATATGAGATAAGTATACATTTTGTATAACATGTAAAGCCTAGAAACACAATATTTGTATGCACAAATTACTCAAGTATAAAGACATCAGCCCATTGTGTCCGATGACAGCGGAAGGAGAGAGGAAGGCGTAACTCCTTTTCCCCGCAGCGTTCCATAACTTGTTGGAGTAGATATCTCTGCTCCGCGCCGATCCTATATGAGTTTGCTTTAAAAGAAGGAAAACTCAAAACAACCAGGACGAGGGTTAAACAATAATCTGTTTTAATGATAAACGGTAAGAATACATTACACTTTCAAAGGGGTGGGTGTCACCCCCACCCCCTGCTCTGGTCCAAATGCCGGGAGAACCTCATCGTCTTGACGGCAGCAGGAAAGAGAGAGAACCCAAGGCCGAACAGGCTTTCATACAAGAATAAAACAGGAGGGGTTGGGTCAGCTGGTCATCTTTTCAGGTCATCTCATTGGGAGATGCAAAAGATGCTGTGTCACAGTGAATCAGCGCGTGCCAGCAGAGAACCCGCAAACAGTCTCAGTTTGAAGCAAAACACATCTGGCGTTCGCTGTCTCATATTTCTGCAGCCTCCCCCACAGAGCAATAAAACCCTGTTTACTCCAACCAGCCCAGAATGTTTATAGCCCTTTTACTCCTCACATTTATGAAAGGATAAAACAGAGAAATCAATATAAAACACAAACACCCGTATAATTGAGCAGTTATTATACAGCCTTATGGCTCCTGTAATGCATACACACATGAATATATAAAAACACAAGTACAGGTATCGTTTTGAGCAGTAATCCCATCTGGCTGCTGCAATTGACACACTTCTTCCCCAAACATCTTTAACGCACACACATCTTATCATGTAGCTTATCACACAACAGTCATATGTTTTCCTTTATGAAAGCCATACTTGTTGGGGTTTAACAGTCATCATCTCATGACCTCCTCAGGACCAGCTAACCAACAAAGCTTAACTGTCCTCATACCCCCAGGCCATCTCTGAACTTCCCTCCACCCGAAGTCAGCTCACCCAGAATCAGAAGGACCATTGTCTCTCTAATTGTGTGTGACCCAATCGTCTCCTGCTCTTTAGGAGTCTTGAAATGAACGCACATACATTTCTCTCATTAACTAACACTTAACATCCCATATATCAGGTGACATAAAAATGAATATACCAGAATTACGCTGTATTAAACTTTTTGCCATAACACTTTATTTAAATTCTTCAAACTTAAGCATTGGTCTGTTTATAGGAAAACATATGCAGCACTGTGCAGTTGTGGAGGATGCAGGACTTAAACATAAGTATGATTAAAACGAGCTACGCCATTACCCTCTCGACAACAAATAAATTATTATTATTAACAGACAGGACAGACGTGACTAGAAACTCTCAAGTAAACACGTGGCTCATAACCCTTTAGGAAACGCCCCCTATAGGATCCTCCCCTTATAGGAATCGCCCCCTGCCTGCGGTCTGCATCCAGACCCATCTCGGAAAGTTAGGCCGTCTTAAGTTTCGTATTGTGTGCGTAAATGAACGTGAGTGTTTGTCCACAGTGCTGTCTGTTATGTTGTTCTACACTTTATTATTATTGTGATAACTTCTGTGCCGATGTGGCTTAATGCAGTCTCCGTGCTCATGTGATCGGTGCATGCTGCGTGCATGTTTATTATGGCTGCTCATTAAGTCACTCGTCTAGTGAGTCGGCACTCCTGTCTCAAAGTTAGGTGTATGTGTATATGGTGTATATACAGGGGTGCACATAACTTTTTTGCCCGGGTTCTCAAAGGAGCACCTGGAGATGTTGCTTGGTGCTCATCCTTAAAATGAAATAAACCGTAACTTTTGAGGGGGTCTTGACTTTATTTGCCAGACACACGGCACTGAACACACATGCAGAGGTGAACACAGAACACACATGCAGAGGTGAACACAAGACAACATTAGCACGACCAGTTATCCTACAAACTGTCATCACTACCCTCCTGACTGTTCTCCTCACTGTCTTCCTCTCTGTCAGACATGGTAGCTGATGATGTAGGCCTACTACTTTCTCTCTGGTTGAGTCTGTGATTAGCTGCTTGCATCCACAAGTCAACAGCTGGGTTTGGGTCGAAAGTCTCTGTTGTCATCTTAGACAAGTGGATTTAATCAAATAAGTATGTGAACATAACCAATAACCTACCATAGCCAATAACAAATTAATGTAACTTGTTTTATTTATGTTGTTCATTCATATCTTATTTTACCTTAACATTTATTTATTTATGCATTTTGTTTTATCTCTCCAGTTTTAAAAGGATATTTTTGGTTACTGTCCTATAGTATACATTGGAATGATTTCAAACCTGTTTATCCCAATAATTATAAAGGAGAGCCTTGGAAATATGTGTTTACATAAATTGTGACCAAACCGTTTGAACTTAGACTAAAGTTAACTATCTAAACACTCAGAGTCCTTACCTCACTGAGCTGTAGTATCAGCCTCTCAGTCTGACTGGAGAGAACTCTCCCTCCACATTATTGTAGAAACATCTTCTTCTTATATCCGTTAAAGCAGCTAGCACCAGATTCTAATAACAACAGCGCCGGTACCGGTGCACCCTCCCTCTCTCTCTCTCGCTCACTCGCATTTTGGCTATGAGCTGCGGGCGCCAGATTAGCCAACATCCCCCATTTTCATCACTTACAGCACCCATCGTACAGGGCAAATGAAACGTGTAACCGGGGTGCAAAGGGTGTACATTTACTTAATTGTGAATATTGTTACATCAAGGCCTTAAATTAGGATGAGCCCCAACGGTCAAAAATGTTTTTTTCCCTCCCAGAGCTGCCAGCGCAGCGCCTCCACAGATCTGGCGCCCTAGGCGAACATCTATTACGCCAGAGCTACGGGCCGGCCCTGAGTTCATATCATAGGTTCATATGCAACTCGCAAATAAATTTCTCTCTCTTCTCTTTTCTCTCTTCTCTCTCCTCTCTTCTCTCTCTCTCTCAATGTTGGTACGCAAATGCGCCTTTTTTCAAATGACACGGTGCTCTTTTTTTGGCGGAGGTGCGCATGCGCACCAGTTATGTGCAGCCCTGTGTATATACACCGTGTTGAGTGGCACAGATATATTATTAATGTAATAAGATGTAGTTTATGTGGATACATGTTTATGTGGCGTTAAAGGTGAGATATTATGTGTTTACAGTTCATTTATTGCTCCGCTACTCGGCTACCGGAAGTAGCATGTCTGTAGCGTTTCACAATAAGAGCATCTGCTGCCGCTTTCCGCTAACCGGAAGTGGAACGTTATTCATTAGCGGTAGCTTAACTTTGAATCTCTGTGTTGCCTTGTAAAGAGTGTTTGACATGATATGTTAATGTGTTTATGATGATAAGAGAAGGGAGACATGTTGTATTATAGCTTGTCTAGATTATTATTTATATAGCGTTTGGCATTATTATGTATATCATTTATGTATGCATAAGTTATCTTATATTGATTGTATTTTGTTTATTTCCCTTGTAGGAAAAACCACACACAGACAAATATCTGTATGTCTGCTTAAATAAGTAAAGAAGTCAAGCCTCATCTTAGCTCCTCATTTCCTCTATTCTGGTCCTTTGGCCTTAAGTGGTGTTCTGGCCGACACACCTGGGTGAACCTAGTGATAGACACAAAACTAGTGCCAACACTGAGTTATCTCTAACGGCCCGTCCTCACAGCGGCGTGCGTTGACGCTTGGAGGTGGGCGTATCTGAAGCTTGGGGATTTTTTGCGAGCAACGCGACCAACAACCAATCACATGAATCTCCCGCCCCCGACATACAAAGCAATAACAATGTTAAAACTAAGTAAACTGGATATAAAATCCCCAAACAGGCGAAAACCTACCAGTTTCATCCACTGTCTCTGCCACCTCCCTCCATGCCTCGCTCCTCCGGTTTGTATCCCGGTAGATCAACAGAGACTGATCATACAGCACCGGGTGATTCACCACCACTATAATGAATTTTCCCTCAATTTTTTTGGAATATGAGGAAATGACCTGCGTAGTCTCTCCCAGCATACACGCGGTTTGATTGGCTAGCGCTTGTACTGGTAGATTTGCATAAACGGGATTTCATTGGCTGATGCCTCCGTCGAGGCGTCAAAAGTTGAACATTGCTCAACTTTTGAAGCCAGCAACGCTCCACGTCGCTTCCCAAAATGCAGTTCGGCTAAAAGTGACGTCAGTAGTTATACTCATGCCCAGGGGCGGACTGGCCATCTGTAGAATCTGGAAAACCACAGAACGGCCGGTGGACAAGGGCCGTTGACGGCCGGCCCTTTAATTTTTTTTGTTTAACGTCATAATTTAAGTTGCGCTTCCGGCCGACAGAGGGCGACAGCGGCCGCTAATGCAGTTGTGTGTTTCTTATCTGTCAAAAAATCACACACGAAGAAGAAAAAAGACCGGCCACACAGACGCCGCGGCAGACAGGGAGAATGACAAAAAATGGATACAAATAAAAGAAAAAGAAAAGAAAAAGGTGGGGCCGAGAAGGCAAGAGAAAAAAAGGTGAAGTCACTCGCAGGTAATGCTAATAACTGTCGCAAATTGACAGACCTTTTTGGCAGCAGCGCCGCTGCTACAACTACAAGCACTATCATCATCACCAGCAGCAGCTTAGAACAAGTGCATGATGAAGAGAATGATGAGGGCGCGATTTCATATATACAGCCAGCCTCCTGCGTTCATGAGGGACAGAGAGTTGAGCTGGTGGAAGAACCAGCTCAACTGGCACATGCAAGCGCAGGGCAAGAGCAAGAGGTGGTAAGTACTATAGAGAAGACAAGTATATTCAACCTAGTGTTTCCAGTTAGTGTGTGGTGTGTTGCTCATGCAAGCAATAAAATAAATACAACTGAGAGTAGGTGTAATAGACTATATTAAAAAAAAGTATAGATTAAACAAAAGCGTATTACTTGTCAACATTTAAGTATTAATTCAAGTAGTAGCCTATAGTATTATAAAAATAATTAACATTATTTTGATCATTAATTTATAATTGTCTATAGGTTGAGGATGGAACAAGGACTGAGGATGACAGCCACTCACACGGCAGCTCAAGCCTGAGGTATTTCCAACGCCCAAATTCCGACAATCACAGTCTCAATAGTTTTTTTTCCTATCACCCTCAGACCAAAACAAAATATTTGACAGTACAAAGACTGTTTAAACGCATGAACGGCACAGATAGAAAATGGCTCACATACTGTGAAGAGAACCACACATTGTATTGTGGAGTATGTTTAGCATTTGCCAAGCCATCTGAAAACAATCCCTTTGTAAGTGGCATGCAGGACTGGAACCATATCAGTCAGAGAGTAGAGGAATACGAAAGGACCATCATGCATAGAATGTGTGCGGAGGCCTACTTTTTGAGGGCATCCAAATCAGACATAGCCAGCCTACTACATGGATCCCAAGTAGTGGCCCACAGAGATCAAGTGAAGAAGAAACGGCAGGTGTTGGAACGTGTGGTAGATGTAGTAAAGTTCATAGGAAAGAGAGGACTTGGCTACAGAGGGAAGGAATATGAGGCAGCATACACTCTAGATGATGACAACATTGACCATGGGAATTTTCTAGAGCTCATCATTCTTCTTGGAAAATATGATGTGTGTCTGAAAGAACATATCACTGAGTGCACAGAAAAAAGTAAGAAGATGCACCAGTCACACTCACAGGCTAAAGGTCGGGGTTCTGCTGTAACATTCCTATCCAAAACAACTGTAAACAACGTCATTTCCACAGTGCAGAGGCTAATTCAGGAGACCATTGCAAAAGAGGTTGCTGAAAGCGGTATGTTTTCTGTACAAATAGATACAACCCAGGACATTACGTCCCATGAGCAGTGTTCTGTGATTCTGAGATACGTCACAGACACTGTCCAGGAAAGGCTTCTTGCAGTGGTCAAATGTGAAGCATCCACTGGCCAATATTTTGTCCAGATGCTGACAGATGTAATGGATCGTTTTGATTTGGATATCAGCAACTGCATCAGTAATGCTACAGATGGTGCATCCAACATGCAGGGTCAATATCGAGGCTTCTCCGCACTCCTGTCATCTAAAGTCCCAAACCATGTACATGTTTGGTGCTATGCACATGTGCTAAACCTCGTTCTGTCTGATACAACTGAAGTGTCCATAGCTAGTGGGTCCCTTTTCTCCCTCATGAATGACATTGCTGTGTTCATTCGCGAGTCATACAAAAGAATGAATGTGTGGGAGCATAAAAGCCAGGACACTCAACACAGTTGGAGAGACACGGTGGTGGGCTAAAGATGTAGCCTTGAAGAAGATCTTTGGCTCATTTGGAAAGCCAGACCAGTCTCTGTACATTGATGTCTTCATGACACTAAGTGAATTTCAAAGTCAGGCCAATTTGAAAACTGCAGTGCGTGTCAGAGCAAGAGGATTCCTAGAGGCGCTCCTGAGGTACGAGACAGTGTTGACTGCCCAGCTTTTCCTTCGGATTTTTGAAGTGACAACACCTCTTTCAAAATACTTGCAGACATGTGGACTAGATATCCTCTCTGCTCACAGGATGGTTCAGGACACTCAACATGCACTGATGAACATGACAAGAGATTTCATGACAGTGAAGACAGCTGCTGATACTTTTGTTGAGTGGGCAAATGCAAAACTGGAGGCAGAAGAGGACTGTGAGCTTGAGTTGGAAACAACACTTCCACTGAAGAGGAACAGGAAAAGGAAGATGATGGCTGGCGAAATGGCAAGTGATGAGAGATTGACAGATGCAAACAGGGCTTATGAAGTAGAGGTCCATAACCAGGTCCTGGATACTGTCACAGACAGTATCAAACGACGCTTCATGACCCACGGCACTCTGTATGCTGACTTGGCTGTCCTTGATCCAAGAAACTTTCCCCAAGTGTGTTCAGCAGAAGCTCTGCCTGACTCTACATTTCAAGATCTAAGCAAATGCTTGCTTAGGTTTGACAGCAGGGCAACTGCTGCAAATTTGCAGTCTGAGTTGAAGTGTCTGGCAGCCCAGTGGCCACGGCTTAAAATGTCTGCACTTGAAGAGTACAGAGTACGAATTTGCTCTGGTTGTTGTAGAGGAAACTTCTGTGTAGCTATGCAGTGGGAGTCACCGACTCAGGAAGGAGACACGGTAGGAGCAGTAGCTTTGATGTCAAACACATGATGGTTTATTTGGAGTTACGGCCGGAGGATTCACATCACAAGTCCAAGAGTCAGAGGTTCTGACTTCACGGTAGAGTTGCCACGTCAATTCTGGAGAGCCTCTCTCTTGCCAGCCCATCTAACTGGTTTCGCAGAGAGTAAACAACATATTTGAGGAGATAGCCTAAACAGTGTGGGAACACTGAGCTACTTGCGTCGGACACTTATGACCTCGAAGATTTCACCTTGGAGTCCACAAATACAGAGAAGGAAGTGTCCCAGTGTACCCACAACACAGACCATCTGTGACCCAGTATTGACCGGTCACAGAATGGGGACAATAACATTATTGGCTAAGCAGCCTGTGTCCTTAAAGGAGGTAAACAGACGTCAGGGTTGGTCCTGTACGTCACATCTTGGCGTCTATGACAATTATTTCCATAACAGTTTTGAGGAAGAAGAGACAGAGGTTTTAAACAAACAGTGCAACTCTTGTAAAGAATGCTCAATATGTTGCTACCAACTTCTGAAACGCTACAACCTCTTCACAGATGCCTATCAGCTCCTTGGTTTAGGATACAAGTTTCTTCTCACTCTGCCTGTGACACAGGTAGCTTGTGAGAGAAGTTTCTCTGTACTCAAGCACATCAAAAGCCGAATAAGGAGCACACAGTCACAAGAACACCTGGAAGCATTCATGCTTATGTCAACAGAAAAATACATCCTCATGTCCCTCGACAATGACTTGGTCATCGACAGAGTTGCAGAAAAAAGCAACTTACTAAAGAAACTGCTGATTCCCCAACATTAGGTTTACAAACCGCCTCAGACAATCTTGTTTATTTCTTTTAGGTGAGAATTATCCCTTAAACTGCAGCCTAATAAACAGCTGATTTGTGTGTGTGTACTGTCATATGATGTCCCATGTGTTAAGACATCTGAGGAGTGTCCTCCCTATTCTCTTTAGGGGAGAATTATCCGTTGAACCGCATAATAAACAGCTGATTTATAATAACTAATAGTACTGTATTATTTTATCTGATCTCTGATCCCCCCCCGTTGACATGACATGTGGCCGGACTGGGTCATATTCCAGAGCTGAATGTTAATCCCAGTCCGCCCCTGCTCATGCCACTTCAATCTCATTAGTATGCATAGAAAGTGACAGGTGGTGTGACAGGTCACACCTCTCCCTACTTAAGCCACGCCCCTTCCGGCGGATGTCCCGCCCCCACTTCCGGTTTTCAAAATAAAAAATGAAAAAATTAGAAAAATAAAAATGCTGCCCCTACCGGTCGCCCCCACTTCCGGTTTTCAAAATAAAATAACATGAAATTTAGCAACCATGAGAAAAATAAAATGCTGCCCCTACCGGTTTTACAAAATATTTAAAAAATGAATCACATTAGTATGCATAGGATCAATGTCCCGCCTCCTAACCACTTCCTGTGCCCCTAATCCTGTATACAGTATTGACTGTAACTTACAAATACTTGCAAATAACATGAAATATAGCAACCATATATTTAAAAAAAGTAATGTCAATCTTTCTAACCCCTCCTTGCTCTAAAGAGTTCCGTGAAAAGTTTTGTGAACAGTCTGGACATGTCTGAAGACAAGTCAGGACAAGTGTGAGAGAAATCATAAAACCCCCCGACATCCTCTACAGTCAAATGGCGGGCGAGGGGAGGGGAAACACACACACACACACACACATCCCCCGCCCCTCACCCCCTCTTCCGTTATGGGGGTTGGATAAATAAGAGCCAGTCGTCTTTGTCACTCTTCAATATTTTTCAAGTCGAGAGAAATGACAAAGAGACGTCTTGATATGGGGTTAATCTGCGAGACACCTGTGACAATTTACAGCCATCCGTTGGGTGCTCCAATCAAGAAAAGATTGCGGTTTGTATGCCGCCTCCAAACGCCTCCAACCGATGAACTTCAGGGAGAATGGACTCTGGAAAATGGCGATGTTTGGGGTTATGCATTCAACTATGTAGCGAATTAATTGCATTTCTACAACCTAAAGAAGGGGGAAATGTACGGACCACAGAGTGCTAAAGCTACGCTAACCTCGACAGATTGGGCTGTGTTAACTCTGGTGTCTTCCAGAGAGCTCCACCCCACCACTGGTTTGGAAGAAGGAGTGCATCAAGAAAACATAGTGGAACCTGAGGTGTACAAGATTTTTGCAAAGAAAAGTCAAGAAACGCAGACAGCAGGCGAGATCAAAAAAGAGTTTGCACCGCTGCCCCTCAAGGTGGAGGAAGAGGGAGGAGATATTTCCCCGCAGCCAGAAGTGAAAATAATCCTGTCAAGCACCGTATGGGAAACTAAAAGCGGACCCTCTGGGCGCTGGTATTACCGCTCAAGCCGTGTGGTGACGTTGGGTAAGGACCCCTCGGATGATTTTGTTTTGGAGTATTTCAACTCTACATGCGGGGTTTTCCAGACATCCTTGCGGGTGCCTCTGACTGCTTGGCTGAAAATGATTGATGAGAAATCTGTAAAGCTTAAAGAACTTTTTAAACAGAGTCAGACATCGATCGACATTATACTGGTGAAAAAGACCCTCACTTATGCAGACGACTCTGCCCCCCAACCAACATAACAAGTCCCACCCCCACCTCAACAGATCATTTAAAACGAAGGACCCCTCAAGAACGGTCTGTGATCAACAACCATGGATCTGAAAAAAACCAACTCTATCACCGCGAGCTGCAGTCTGGATCAAACGCCTACAGGACCGCCATCCTCACCAACAATTTGGACATCAGATCTCGACAACTATATGGCGGGTATTGATATCACGGGGTGGCTGGATATGCCTCAACCTCCATCTACTCCATCCGAGTCTCCAGGGGAATCAGCAGTAGTAGGCGTTGATATGCCATGCTATACTCGTGTTCCAGAGGTTGATGCTACAGAACGTGAAAGGACATCATCATTCCTGAATACGGTAAAAGCTGTTGTAGTTCATCTGCTGGATAGGGTCGTGCATCTGTACAGAAAGGAAAAATGTTACGGATGTCAAGTCGATCATCCCAGTCAAATGCAGCACGAGTGTTTGTTTCCGACCCAAGATTACTTTCTGGATATAAATTATGACGATGTGATAAAGAGACTGTGGACCGTTCGTTTCATTCCAGCCATTCGGGAGGCTCTGCACCAAAGCCAGCTTCATGTGTCAGAGAGGAGAGTCTTTGGAGCTACCGAGGCGATTCTGCACAATCTCAGAAACACCAGACTCTTTGAGGCTAAAATGGAGAAGATTTACGGCCAGCTGGTAGATAACGACGAGACCCGTCTGAAGACTATAAGAGCAGCTTGGGCCTTTTGGCAGCAATAGGAAAAACAAATGTGATACTTTTTCGTTAAAGTATGTTTTATATTTTGATCTGCTTGGAGAAAATGTTTTTTTTTTTATACATGTGTGACATATCAATAAAATGCTTTGCAAGAAAAACGTTTGTACTCATTACCTCAACGGGGTGTAACAGGAAACATGTCTGAGAAACATGCTATGCATAAAGTGTATTACACTCCTTCTAATCCAGGGAGTTTAGGAGGTGTGGATAAACTCCATAGAGCTGTACAGAATGAAATGGGTAAACAAATAAATGTAGAGAAAGTCAGAGAATATTTATCTGAGCAGGATGCATATACTTTGCACAAGCCGGCTAGGGTGCATTTTGTAAGAAACAGAGTTTTCGTACTCAGACCGCTGCAGCAATTTCAAGCAGATCTCTGCGATATGCAGTCGCTGTCCGAATATAATGATGGTTTTAATTATTTGTTAACAGTCGTAGATGTATTTTCGAAAAAAGCCTATGCTCAGGCATTAAAGAAGAAGACGGGTATTGAGGTTACCAAAGCCTTTGATACAATTTTAACACACAGTGAGATCCCTAAAAAGATACAAACAGATGCGGGGAAATAATTATTTAATAAAGTTTTTCAAAACTTATTGAAGAAAAGAGGTATTGCACATTATGCAACCGCCAGTGATATGAAGGCATGCGTGGTAGAGAGATTTAACCGTACGCTGAAAACTAAAATGTGGAGGTATTTTACAGCTAAAAACACTCATAGATATATAGACGTCTTACCCGAACTACTTGAAAGTTACAATAATAGTTATCACCGAAGTATTAAAATGACGCCACTGCAGGTAACCAAGGAAAATGAGGCTCAAGTGTTTCGGAATCTATATAACCCCTCCAGCCTTCGTAAAAAAGCTGCTGTCAAAATGAACTTTAAGGAGGGGGAGCTTGTAAGGATATCCAAATTGAGAGGAGTATTCGATAAAAAATATGAGCAGAGTTATACGGACGAATTATTTACGGTGTCTGAAGGCTTACCTCGGCAGCCACCTGTTTACAAGCTCAAAGATTATGATGGAGAAGAGATCAAGGGGACTTTTTATGAGAAAGAGTTACAAAAAGTGAAGATAACTAATGACAAGGCTTTTCAAGTCGAGAAAATTCTAAAAAGGCGTGTGGTGAGAGGGAAAAAACAAATGTTTGTATCTTGGCATAATTGGCCCGAAAAATTCAACAGCTGGGTTGATGCTGGAGAAATCAAAGATGTATAAAAGCAAACAGAATCAACACTCAGTCCTTCATTACAGCCATGGAGATAAATGAAGGGTTCTACATTACGCTGCCGTCTAATGCCAGCCTGGAGGTATTTCAAAACAATACAAGCTCTAGCTATCAGGTGAACCTAGCACAACCTTTACACTTGGATGGTTCGTGGCAGGTCGCCCTGACAGAAATATCATACCCACACACCTGGTATAACTTACCTACGGAAGCAGCCTTTTTTGAGTGGATAAAGAAAGCAAAACTCCCCGACATAGCCCCGACTAGCAAGTTAAGGCTTCATATGTTTAGAGCTGGTTACTATAGTAGCATAACTCAGCTCATAGAGGAACTTGAGTCCTGCTTCAAAAAAATGGACTTTGATGTCAGTTTACACTATAGTCCAATTCACAGGAAAATCGAATTTCTAGGAGGGGCCCAATATCGTTTCCGCTTTCCAAAAACCGTCGCTTATATGCTTGGAATACAACCAGAACAGTGGCTCAAATTTGATGATAAATCAGCAGCCTATCCAGCGGATATAAATACTGGCTCAACACATCTATACTGCTATAGCAATGTGGTCAGTCACCAGCGGGTAGGTGACGCTTTTGCTCCTCTCTTGAGAACCGTAGATATAAGAGGAACATTCGGCGATACAGTAACTCAGTATTTTAATCCTGCATACTACTTGCCGGTAACAAAAACACACATCGAGAATATAAAGGTAGAAATAAAAAACGACCAGAACAAACCAGTAAAGTTCACCTACGGAAAAAGTGTAGTGAAACTTCATTTCCGACCCTCAAAAGCAGGGCAATCTTTTACAAAACGATGATTCATCAAGACCCCCAACGTTTTGTGAGTTACTATGAAAATCAAGCGGGGGGATCCCTGCCTGGTTTTTATGGTGCACGGGTGATGTACGGGCGAGGCATTGGCTCTATATTTTCGAGATTATTTCGTTTTGTCGCCCCCCTGGTGAGAAAAGGGTTCGCCATAGCTAAACCTCATCTGAAATCGGCGGCCAAAAATATTGCATCAGATGTTATCAGTAAGGCTGTCCATAGATTCGGCCGCCAATCAGACCCCGGATCTCAAGAAGGATCAGGTGGTCTGATGGTTTTGGCAAGAAGGGCCAGGAAGAGACCTCCAGGCAAACGGGTTCCGAGGGGTGTCAAGAAAGGAAAACACTCAGTCAAAAGAAAATCATTAGGGAAAAAACACCCTCGGAGAAGGAACGTATTAGGGAGAGATATATTTTAGCGTGTTAAATATGGCTCTTTTACATCATAAATCTGCTGAATGCAGCATGGCAGAGCTGGATTTATTTTCAGCCCCAATGACGCAACTTTCTATAGACGAAAAACACTACACAGAGGTCCTTCCGCTGTCTGCCATTACGGAGGACGGACCCATAGAATTTTTTATCCCCGGGGACGGAGATAAATACCTGGATATGAATGACACCTTGATACATCTCAGGATCAAAATAACCAACGCAGATGGGACTAATCTGGCAGCTGATGCCCCCGTCGCCCTAGTTAATTACCCTCTGAATACAATTTTTAGTCAATGCGACGTTATTCTAGGGGACAGACTAATTTCTCAATCTAGTTCGACTCATCCTTACAGGGCGATGATTGAAACGCTATTGAATTACTCTGATTCTACTTTAAAAACTCAGTTCACAGCCGGCTTATTTTATAAAGACACCGTGGGATCTATGGACTCTATAGTCATAGCCAATGGACCAAATAAGGGACTGGTAAAGAGGGCCTCATTCACAGCAGAATCTCGGGAGCTTCACTTGATGGGTGCTTTACACACGGATATATTTTTCAGCGAGAGGCTTCTCCTGAACTCTGTAGATTTGAGAATCAAACTCACCAGATCTAACGATGCCTTTACTCTCATGTGTGCAAATGACTCTACATACCGTCTAAAAATACTGGGGGCTTCACTTTTTATCAAAAAAGCCACAATCACGCCTGCAGTGCGTTTAGGTCATGCTGCGGCTCTGCTGAGAGGTAACGCCCTCTACCCTCTATCACGGGTGAATCTAAAGACATATAGTATACCGGTTAATTCTAGAATATGCAACCAAGAAAATCTCTTTTTGGGTAATATGCCCAAGTACATAGTATTGGGTATGGTAAATCACGAAGCCTTCACCGGAAGGAGAGAGCTTTCACCTTTTAATTTCCTTCATAATGATATGGAATATCTGGCTCTGTGTCAGGATGGGAGGCAAGTACCAGCCAAAGCATTTCAACCCCAATTTAACCGGGGGTCGTCAGTCAGAGAGTTTTACAACATGTTAACTGCTACAGGGAGACACATGAAAGACTTACCTCTAAGTATAGACAGAGATGATTTCGAACAAGGATACTCTTTATTCGTGTTTAATTTAACTGCGGCGGAAGACGCCGACGCCTTATCTCCCATCACAAGCGGTAGTTTAAGATTGGAAATGAGGTTCAGAGTACCGCTACCACAGACTACCACTTTAATCGTATATTCTTGTTTTGATTCGATTCTGGAGATTAATTCAAAACGACAAGTGCTGGTAGATTATTACTAAGAAGACTACAACATGAATAATCACCAATTGGATTGTCTCCTGCAGCATATGGTGGGGGGTTCTTTTGGGGGGGTATGGGCCTCAGACCAGCTACCCAGAGTAAAACAATTATTTAGATGCCCTGTATACATGATTGTAAACACCCACCCCTCCCACATGCCCGGAGAACACTGGCTAGCAGTGACTTTAGAGGAAGGGGAAGGAACTTTTTTTGATTCTTTGGGGTTTCCCCCCGATTTTAGTCATTATCCTAAAAGCATCCTGCAATTTCTAAAAACACAATGTGAAACTATTTTATACCATAACCGGCAACTTCAGAATATCATGTCTAAAGCCTGTGGTCAACACTGTGTTTTTTATCTATGCAAAAGAGCGTCCGGGTTGTCTTACGAAAATGTGTTATCTTTATACCAAAATGATGTGATAAAAAATGATGCAGCTGTAACGAATTTTGTGAAAAAATACCAAAGGTGTGAGAGACGTCATAAAGACTCATTTTAATCACAGTGTTTGTTCGCTACAAATGTTTAAAGATTGTTATAAAATGTAGAAATAAAAAAGGTCTGAAGACAAAATTAATTCAGATGACTGTCTTTATTAGGAAATCATGAAATATAATACAACTTTAAGGGGTTAAATGTAACCATCTTGGACTTAATATTCTGTCTTGCCTTATCCTTTTCTTCTTAAGCAGGGCATTCTGAGGTTCTACAGCTGTTCCTAAAGTGTCCCAACCGGGGGTAGAGGGAGATGTTTTTCTTCTTTTTCGGGGGATATTTTCTCGATTTAGTTTGCCCTCTTTGATTATGCGATATTGTTCACGAGCGTGAAGGTTTTGAAAAGCTGTTAAGGGAATGTTGATCTCATTCAGACTATTTAAAAACCCCCGCCAGCCCTTAGGCTCCTGAACATTTGTTTTATACGCGCAGGATAAATGTTTAAATAAATCTAACATGTGGGAACCTTTTACAGCTACCCCCTTTTCTATAAATTCCCCCGCTGGTGTCCATCCAGCTGTACTCGTGGTTAATTTCCTCATAATGTACTCGGCATTCTTGTGGTAACGCTTAGGGAGGTGCTGAAGCACATCGTTTTTTATTTTATCATCGGACGTGCCATCATTTTCTTCTCCTTTTACCAACCCCGTGTCTTCAGGTAAAGTTAGAGTAATATGTTGTTCCT